CTAATGCTTATCAGCCTCTCTTGCTGAAACCTGTTTCACCTTCACGCGGAGGACCCTATTCTGCCCAGTACTGCTGTAGAAAGTTGAATGTTAATCCCCTGCGAGAAAAACCATGTAAAGCGGAAGTCCGGTTCTATCGGCCAGCTACATTGTGGTCTGCCTGGTGAGACACTGTGAGCTATGAATTGTACGGTGAAAGTTTATTGTCAGTGCTACCCGAGATATATGTGCTGTAAACCGATGATTTAGAAAATAGGGAGTGGCTGGTTGCCACACTGACTGTGTGCCTTATGCAGCTTTGCGTTTGTACCTGCTGATGTCTCGGGACTAGTGCTTTAATAAACTATAAAAAACAATTCTAGTGACAGACTCTTTGTTTCGGCTCTTGTATGCATTTGATTCGTGTGCAAGCTATTAGATATTGACGGGACTGGTGTCGGCTTGACCTTTCCCATGGGACAGTGATGGACACAGGAACGGTTCAAATTATGGGTGACCTGTTTGCGAACAAGTTGGAAGCTCAACTTATAGTCTGATTGTTTGAGACAAAAAGAAAACGTAGTTTTGATAATTTATTGGTGTATTTACCTAGATCAACAAAATATCAACACTTTGCTATAAAAGTATAGCATGTACTACATACTAAATTCGTTTTTTGTCACAGAGAAAATATATTATTGTCACGTGACGTATTTGTCCAGACATGTTGAAATGTGTTACTCTCACAAAAAATTATGCATTAATGCCACACGAGAAGATAAATTTACATAACAAGACATAATTAAAAGGTATTTTTATGGCACAATATAAACATTGTCATCAAATGGCACAATGTTGTCTTATCACGCGCTTAAATGTGATGCTATCACAAGTCACAATATATTAATTACTATGGCACAAGGGAATATATTACTATCACAAGAAACAATACGTTGTTTATAGTACAAACGATTAAATACTTCTGATGCTTGCAAACGTTATCTATCTATCTATCTATATATATATATATGCATGGTGGAACATCAGCTGAATTGATTCAAAATACTAAAGACCCAGATCTGTGGACAGACGCCAGCGCCTATGTCGGTGAGCAAGACACTTGATGATGATGATGATGATGATCACATGGGTGGAGTGAGGTATTCACGCTCAATAATCTATTATTATTCCACTATAGAATAAAATGTATTACCATCACAGGAAAATTTTTGTCCTCCCACATTTTTCAAATGTGATACTGTCACACAAGATACCACACGCAAAAATGTATAGTCTTCTTCAAATGTCGTGCTTCAAACTTTAACAAATTTCTCGAAAAAAAACTTATATAGAGACCAGCATGGATTTTTGCAGTGTGTTTATAGATTCCCCATGTCTTTATCATCATCATCAGTTCCCCATGTCTTTATGATCTTACAATTGACAACTGCACATGTGGTAATGTTTTCTTAAAGCAGCGACTTTCTCTGATCTTTGTCATACTTTTAGTTTGTGTACCTCTTTAAAAAAAAAAAAAAGAAAGAAAAAAAAAAAAAAACCGAATATACAGCAATTAAAATTTAAAAAAAAAATCGTTTGCTCAAAACCACAAGCGTGGGAACTGTGTTGTTATCAGATCACATGGACAGCGATGCGTGGTGATTATTTTTATTTTGATAACCTATTCAGTGTACAACGAAATATTGTGTTCACCTAACTCACAGGAGGCTAATGCAGGAAACTGATCATCGGAGAGTGAAATGACTATGAACTGAGTTGCAAAGGTGTAAATAGGATTATGACAGCACATGATAGTGTATACTATCACTATTCAAAATAAGTGCACCTTGAGTTTTGGCACGGATTACCTCTAACACATGTGCAATTTAATATTATGCAAGGTTCGCGTCACTCATTTAACTGTAAACATATTAACTGTATGCTATAAATCGGTGTCTGTTTTTTTTTTTCATATACCTAGCAAAGGGCAAATTTAAAACTATATGTTTGTTTACATTATAATTTTTCCCCTACAAGGATTTGATTATTAACAAATTCAGTGCCAAGTTTCGCCAATTTATACCGAAAAGTTACTCAGGTAGAGTATAGACTGTTAGAGTTGGGCACGACAGTGTTGGGCGTCCTCGACGGATTGGGTCGGTGTCCTTGCCTAGACACATCCATATGACTAAGCTATCTAGGCATTTATCTCTTTTCCCTTCACTGGCTCTTTTCCCTTGCCAAATATCGCCAACTTCTCTAGTCGATTACTAATCATAATTATGTCACAAAAACAGAGATATTCCATACAAACAGAAACATTGTATAAACAACTAAATTATACACACATATTTCATTTGTAGCCCTGGTAAAGACACTAAAATCGTCTCGAGTTCATGTTTGGCCTTGGTAAACACACGGGGATCAGATCTCTAGTTCATGCGTGGAACTGGTAAACACACAAGGATCAAGTCTCTAGTTCATGTTTGGAACTAGTATACACACCGGGATCAAATCTCTCTTTCATATTTAGAACGGGTAAACACACCAGGATCAAATTTCTATTTCATAGTAGGCCTTGGTAAACACACCGGGATCAAGTCTTTAGTTCATGTTTGGAACTGGTAAACACACCGGGATCAAATCTCTCTTTTATATTTGGGACGGGTAACACACAGGGATAAAATATTTCTTTCATATTTGGAATTGGTAAACACATCAGGATCAAATCTTTTGCTCATGTTTGGAACTAGTATACACACTGGGATCAAATCTCTTTTTCATATTTGGAACTGGTAAACACACAGGGATCAAGTATGTAGTTTATGTTTGGAACTGGTAAACACACCAGGATCAAGTCTTTAGTACATGTTTGGAACTAGTATACACACCGGGATCAAATGTCTATTTCGTGTAAGGCCTTGGTAAACACACTGGGATCAAGTCTGTAGTTCATGTTTGGAACTGGTAAACACACTGGGGTCAAATCTCTATTGTATGTTTGGAACTGGTAAACACACCAGGATCAAGTCTCTAGTTTATGTTTGGAACTGGTAAACACACCGGGATCAAGTTTCTAATTCACATCTGGCCTTGGTTAACACACCAGTGTCAAGTCTTCAGTTTATTTTTGTGGCTTGGGTAAACACCCCGGGAATATGTCTGTAGTTTATGTTTGATCCTCGTAAACACACTGGGAGTATGTCTGTAGTTTATGTTTGATCCTCGTAAACACACTGGGAGTATGTCTGTAGTTTATGTTTGATCCTCGTAAACACACTGGGAGTATGTCTGTAGTTCATGTTTGATCCTCGTAAACATCCCGGGAATATGTCTGTAGTTTATGTTTGATCCTCGTAAACACACCGGGAGTATGTCTGTAGTTTATGTTTGATCCTCGTAAACACCCCGGGAGTATGTCTGTAGTTTATGTTTGATCCTCGTAAACACACCGGGAGTATGTCTGTAGTTTATGTTTGATCCTCGTAAACACCCCGGGAGTATGTCTGTAGTTTATGTTTGATCCTCGTAAACACCCCGGGAATATGTCTGTAGTTTATGTTTGATCCTCGTAAACACCCCGGGAGTATGTCTGTAGTTTATGTTTGATCCTCGTAAACACCCCGGGAGTATGTCTGTAGTTTATGTTTGATCCTCGTAAACACACCGGGAGTATGTCTGTAGTTTATGTTTGATCCTCGTAAACACCCCGGGAGTATGTCTGTAGTTCATGTTTGATCCTCGTAAACACCCCGGGAGTATGTCTGTAGTTTATGTTTGATCCTCGTAAACACACCGGGAATATGTCTGTAGTTTATGTTTGATCCTCGTAAACACACTGGGAGTATGTCTGTAGTTCATGTTTGATCCTCGTAAACACACCGGGATTATGTCTGTAGTTCATGTTTGACCCTCGTAAACACACTGGGAGTATGTCTGTAGTTCATGTTTGATCCTCGTAAACACACTAGAAGTATGTCTGTAGTTTATGTTTGATCCTTGTAAACACACTGGGAGTATGTCCGTAGTTCATGTTTGACCCTCGTAAACACATCAGGCTCAAATTCTCTTATTCATTTTTTGGCCCTGCTAACACATACACATCGGGTTTGAGTTTATAAAACATAGTAACTAATGCAGCTTTAAAATGTGATAAATATTGTTTGTTTGTTTGTTGTTTATTTTAGTATCCAGAACCCATGACTTGTTAACCCTTAGGGTCGGTATTATGGATATCTCAGCCTTTCGGCCTTGATTCCATGATAAATACCGTAAATCTGGGAGAAATGTGGCTTTTCTGCCTACCCCCGGGAGCGAACCCGGACCACAAGGAGTTAGTCACCCGCTCACCGCGCAATCAGGTTTAGCCAACTACGCTAGAGAGCCGGGCAATGTGATAAATATATACAACATTTGACATCCGGAACTTAAATAACGTAACAGTAGAGATGTACGTTTATGTCAATGTGTTATCTGATGTGTGTAAACTAAATGGCTCTCGATAGGCAGTATCTATCTTCTTGCTTTTTTTTTTTCCTTTTAAAAATCATTAGGCTGTTTGAGAAAGAAATATGTTTCGATTAGGATTCGAAAACATGACCACCAGGTCCATAGGCATCGCGTTAGCCACTGGACTATCCCGAACAGTTGAATCGAACCGATAGTCTGTAGGTCTCGATATAAAAATGGTGTCTAGTTGATCGTGCGTGGAATTTACACCTGCTTCTTCATCAGAGCGGCACCGTGGTTTGGAGTCGACAGTTTCAAATCCCAATAGAAAACAATGTTAAAAAATGTAATGCTGCCTTCTTTTCGTGTGTTGTTTGTTTGTTTGTTCATTGATGTGTAGAATTATGTTGTTTCCCCAATTAACAAAAATTTTGGCCGAAACGTTTGTTGTATCTGTCTTTTTGCTCCCCTTCATTCAGTCTAGTCAACGTTTTTATTGTGTGGTTTTTTTTTTCCCCGTTTAATCCACTCGACTTCAGACATCCCACAGGTTCATCGCAGAAACTATGAAATCAACTATCGTCCATATTTATGATTGTCCCAAGATTGAACCCGTTGCTATGAACGCTGTTTCTTCTGTTCCTGTTCCGTCTGCAGTTAAAAGCGTTGACAACTTCGATTCCCGAGTCTAAGGATTCATCATTTCTAGTAGCTATTTCTCTGGTGACTCTATTGCTGCGATCAGGTTCAACCGGTATGTAAATTTCACAGTGATTACTGTCGTCAGAATCGTCCGATACCATATATCCGTTGAGACTGTTGATAGGGCTGTCATCGTTGACAGGCGTATGGCTGAGCGTGCCTGCCAACGCGTTGCCATAGATACTGTCGTTGTCTTCGTGTAGGTCTTCTTCGGTGAGGTCTATGGTAAATATTTTGTTCTTGAACCTGACTTCTTTATGTTGCTTCTCACTGTTGTTGTTGTTGTGGTTGTTGCTGTTGTTTGGTTTGTCTGGGGTGTCTGGAAAATATTACAGTTGTATAAGTATGGTGATTACCCAGACAGACAAACATACACATTGTCGGACGTATGGACGGGCTAACAGAACAAACAACCTTTATTTTTAAAAAGACAGACAGACAGACGGGCAGAAGAAACAACGGATGGATAGACAGACAGACAGACAGACAGACAGACAGACAGACAGACAGACAGACAGACAGACAGACAGACAGACAGACAGACAGACAGACAGACAGACAGACAGACAGACAGACAGACAGACAGACAGACAGACAGACAGACAGACAGACAGACAGACAGACAGACAGACAGACAGACAGACAGACAGACAGACAGACAGACAGACAGACAGACAGACAGACAGACAGACAGACAGACAGACAGACAGATAGATAGATAGATAGATAGATAGATAGATAGATAGATAGATAGATAGATAGATAGATAGATAGATAGATAGATAGATAGATAGATAGATAGATAGATAGATAGATAGATAGATAGATAGATAGATAGATAGATAGATAGATAGATAGATAGATAGATAGATAGATAGATAGATAGATAGATAGATAGATAGATAGATAGATAGATAGATAGATAGATAGATAGATAGATAGATAGATAGATAGATAGATATCCTGATGTGTAGGTGGGTAGGAGGACAGACAGCAGAGACAGACAGGCAGGCAGTCTGGGAGACAGACAGACATGTATGCAGGTGGAGTAATTGATGGATGATGAAAGCAAGGACAGGCGAATGGATGGATGACGCTGCAAGTAAACAGTTAGACTGGTAGATAACTTGGGATGTAAGTGAGTACATCATCATCATCATCAGTTCTCGTTATGCCTAGTGGCACATGAGGCTTCAGAGAGGACTTTCCATGCTTTCCTGTCCTGTGCAATCTTCAATGCAGTTTTCCATGTCAAAGATGCCGCAATCAGGTCACTTTCCATCGTTCGTCTCCATGTTGTTTTTGGGCGCTCCTGTTTTCTCTTTCCCTCTGGTGTCCATGTCCATGTGAGAGCTGTTTTGGCAGGTATATCAGAAGTCATTCTCATAACATGGCCAAGCCATTTCCATCTTCTCTTGGTAATCATACTGTCTAAAGTTTCTTGGTTTGTTTGAAGAGGAGAGATGATATAACACATCCATGTCTTACACCCGTCTTTACTGGGAAAGATGTATTGTAATTTTTTATACTGCAGGAAAAGTCTTTATAGAAGAGAGCAATTATGTTGACTATTTTTTCTGGAATTCCATAATGTCGTAAAATTTTCCACAGACCGTCTCTATGGATGCTGTCAAAAGCTTTCTCAAAGTTCACAAAATTAATATATATACTTCTCTGCCATTCGTTGCATTGTTCTAAAATGTTCCGTATGGCGCAGATGTGCTCAGTTGTTCCTCTGCCCTTTCTGAAACCTGCTTGTTCCACTCGTAGGCATTTATCTACTCCTTTTTCAAGCTGCATTATGATGATTTTACAAAATATTTTGCTTGGTACTGAGAGTAGAGTAATTCCCCTCCAATTATTGCAGTCTGTTAAAACTCCTTTTTGGGGGATTTTGACTATTGTTCCTTCAGTCCAGTCATCAGGCAACACTTCTTTTTCCCAAATATCCTTGAACAATGGTTCTAGAATGCTAGCAGTTGTGTTGGGATCTACTTTGAGAAGTTCTGCTGGCAGTTCGTCTTTGCCTGGTGCTTTGTTGTTCTTTAAAGTGTGGATAGCTTTAAGGATTTCTTGTTTGCTTTGTGGTTCAGTAATAATGTCAATGTCCTGAGAGGCTGGTTGAATTTCTGGGGGATTTTCAGGATCAGGTCTGTTCAAGAGGTCGGAGAAGTGTTTAGTCCACTGCATGTCTTGTTTTTGTTCTGTGGTGAGCAGTCTGCCTTGGTTATCTTTGATGGGTATGCTGTGATAGTTATTTCTGTTTCCGCAAATTTGCTGGGTAATTTTGTGTAGGGTTTGTAGATCATGTGCTTTAGCAGCATTTTCTGCTGTTTCCATAAATCTTCTCTTGTCAGCTCTGGCACTTTTCTTGGTCATTTTATTTAGTTCGCTATATTCTAACATTAGTTTGTCTTTCTGACGTTCTGATTTAGTGTGATTTATGAGGTTCTTTATACTTTTTCGCTTGGCAATATAGTCCATGGTTTGACTACTTATCCATTCTTTGTGGTGTTGTTTCCTGGTTCCTAATATTTTATTGCTAGTTGATTTGTATGTTTCTTTGATCTGGTTCCATCTGTCTTGAATGCTGATTGTAGTTGGAGTTTGTGGGTCACTTGATAGGGTTTGAAATCTATTCTTGAGTTCTACTATAAATTTAGTGGCAATGTCTTTTTCTCTTAAAAGGTTAACATTGTAACGTGCTGTCTGTGTCTTAACTTGTGTGTAAACTTTTTTGAGTTTCAGTCGTAGTAGAGCGACTACAAGGTGATGATCGATTCCCACATCTGCTCCCCTTTTGACACGCACATCGAGTAGGGACCCACGCCATTTTCTGTTCACCATGAAATGGTCGATCTGGTTTACATCTCTTCTGTTTGGGGATATCCATGTAAGCTTGTGTATGTTCTTGTGAGGAAATAGTGTTCCTCCTATAACAAGTCTATTCGCCGTGCAGAAGTCGCTCAATCTTTCCCCGTTGTCATTAATTGTACCACATCCTTGATTTCCCATTGATAGTTCTCTATTCAAGTTGTTGTTACCAACTTTTGCATTGAGATCTCCCATAATGCATAGAATATCATGGGCTGGTACTTTATCTACTACCTCTTGCAGTCTCCTATAGAATGTTTCTTTATCTTCATCTTCAGCTTCATTAGTCGGTGCTTAGCATTGGATGACTGTAAGTTTGGCATGTTTGCCATTGTATCGTGCTGTCATTATTCTTTCATTGATTGGATGCCACTAGATAAGATGTTTGTGTATACCTTTCTTTAAAATAAGTGCTACTCCTGCAGAATGTAGGTTATCATCTCTTCCAGAGTATATTATGGTTTCTCCTGTACCTGTTGTGGATTGTCCAAACCCTGTCCACCTGCTTTCACTAATTCCAAGAATATGCAGTTTATAGTTCTGCATTTCTTTAATTACTTGGGCGGTTTTGGCCGTTTCAAACATGGTTCTTACATTCCAGAAGCCAATTCTTAATTTGGTTTTGACATCCAGCAGACTTGTTTTCCCATCATGGGCTTCCTTTCGGCTTTCACCCATGTTGTTCATGCTGACAGAGGGGCACTGTCTCAAGACCACTGGACGTTTAGAGCACTTATTTCCTCTTGAAGTTTCAGTAACGTTGTAGATTTTTTACAGTGCAGAGCTGTCAACACTGCGCCCAACAAGTGGATTTATCAGTTTGTCCCCTCTGGGCTGCTACCTATAGTTTACCATACCATCCCCAGATTGGGAAATCTCAGCACGGACTGCAGACCAACAAGGTAGATCCTAGATACCCCACTCTAACTCCAAAGAAGTGCCAATTATATCATCTGTAATAGCTCCACCAGCCATGAGGTGCAACCTGTAGTGTGAAGCGGGTAAAGATTAGCAAGTTCGAGTAATGTATAATACCGTCCCCTATATGTGAACATGGGAAGCTCTGCAGAGACCATTTGCATAGACATAAGTACGTGTTCTAAAACAGTGTACTTCAGCCTGTCGACTGTGTAAAAGTCCAAGTGGGCCGCCAACAAGTTTTGCCTAATCATGTAATGGGGTAGAAATCCTATCTTGATATATGGAAGTCAATCATTGATAATTGGTAGATTAGTGAAAAAAATTTGTTGGAAGCTGCGGATATGCAGTTTCATAGACGAATCATTAGAATACCCTCACAGATAAAAAGAGTAATGAGGATGTCTTGAAAGAATCTGACTCATGAAGACAACTGACTGCCCACATCAGAAAGAGACAATCTACATTCTTTGCTCAAACGATGAGAAGGAGAAAGCTGGAGCACATCGTGACAGTAGGAAAAGTGGAAGGGAGGAGAGGCAGAGGGAGACCGAGAGAAAAGATGCTGGACGGTCTGACATCATGGCATGGAGGATTGTATGTGTCAGAGTTTACAGGGATGTGGCTAGGCATGACTACCAACGACAAATAATTCCCTCTATTTTGGGGAGCTACAAATGTAGAAAAGGTTGAAGAACACAGGTTCTAAGAAACTCACCTGTGATAGTGAAAATACTTTTGTTATCGGCCCCTTTCTCTCCTTCCTCTTGAATTTCAGAAGACGATATCCCTCCGTCTACCATGGACATCTCAGTCTCCTCGCAGAGGGACTCCAACTGGTTCTTGCCACTGTTTTCCTCGGTGTTTGGGTTAAAGTTCTTCATCTGTAAAATGTAAGTAAACTATTAGATAATCCGTGTTTCCTCTTTCCGCCTCTCTCTTTCTCTCTGTCTCTGTCTCTTTGTCTCTCTCTCTCTCTCTCTCTCTCTCTCTCTCTCTCTCTCTCTCTCTCTCTTAGAAGGGCCGAATGTCAGACGGGCCTGCGTGCCCAATTTGTATCCCTTTGAAAATAAAGTTTGTTCTTTCGTTCGTTCGTTCGTTCGTTCGTTCTCTCTCTTTCTTTCTGATTCATCTGTTCTACTACATATATGAACACAAAGCCTGCATATTAGTTAACAACCAATAGTTGATAAAATTTTACATTTAAAGCACTCCGAAAAAAACTAATAGAAACCCCATTACGCTCTCTCTCTCTCTCTCTCTCTCTCTCTCTCTCTCTCTCTCTCTCTCTCTCTCTCTCTCCTTCTGTTGCTATTTCTCGTGAAAAACTCCAAACGAGATAGCGGCTTATGGGTTATGAAAATTGTCAGCATTCCTGGAAAACTATCAGATACTCAGTTTCCTTCAGCAAAGGCAAAAGATGTACTACTTATTATGCTCATAAATGTTTCCGCCAAAGTGTTAATACTGAAAATATTCCAATGGAATCAGGTTTTCACAGTTTATGGTGGAGCTGGTCAGGGCACGAACGACTGACATCTGAATGGCTATAGTTACTACATTTTGTTTTTAAATCCAGAAACCATAAATTGTAAACCCTTTGGCTCGATACTATAAATATCGCAACCCTTCGGCCTTGATTTCATTATAGGTACCGTATATCTGGGAGAAATGTGGCTTTTCTGCCTATCCCCGGGCATGAACCCGGACCACAAGGAGTTCGTCACCCGCCCACCGCGCACACATGTCGCAACTATTACTAACAGCAGGGCATGTTGAGAACGTTGGAGAAAGGTATGCTACGTGCAAGAATCGATTCATGAATACGGGTAGTTTGATGCTTTAGATATTTACTTCACGTAATGCCGATGCATTTGAAAACGAACATATAGATAGGCTAGCTGGTTGTGCACCATTTGGTGGTGAACTAATGCTTGACAAACTAGATATTGTAATGATCCTTTGGTAGCGAGTGAATGCACAGACAGGCACAGACCATCACGGTCTGAGTAGAATGACGCTGCGATAACTGACCAACCAGGAGATCTGGCCGACGGACTTAAAATCAGACTGTTAACGATGCAGTCGAAACTGGGACTCTGAACTTGAAACTGAAGATTGGTGTATTAAAACTGCTCATTTATTCTCGAAGAAAAATGGCAGCTTATGTTGTGCTCTTTTTATAGTTCGAATCTTCGATTGAATAATGCAAATGTGTTGAATCGGGGCCGCCGGAAATGGGAACCTTGAATCCCGTGAGTACACCTACTTCCGCTCAGAGAAAATACAAGGGACTGCTTTTTCAAGCCCTTTTTCTCCCTTCAAGCATGTGTATAGAAGTGTTTTTTTTTTTTTACTTTTTGTTTAAACAGTTCAAATTATTTCAGATTTATAATTAAAAATAAAAAAAAAAAAAACACTAATGAAGATGTCTTAAAAGAAACTGTACCGACGCCACGCGGCATGCGCTACAAAAAGAGGATATTATAATATATTTTTAGGCATTTCGCACATTATTATTATATACTTAAACAAGCTTAGTCCCCCTTGATCCCCCTTCCTTTCCATGTTTTCTTTTATTGTTATCCCTATGTTGAATTGTGTTTTCCTTAAGGAGTAAACGGCAGAAACCTTATTGCTGCATTCAAACTTGTATGGTATTATCATAATGAAGAAACCACACGCTGTTTGGTTACACATGAAGGCCTTTCAAGAGAATATGAATATTATTAAATAAAGAACGCACTGGGCGTGTTCGGTCCGTTGCTTATGTTTAAAGAAAACTTAAATCTTCCGAAAAAGCCTCTGAAGTTCGAATATAAGTTAAAATATGCTAGAGTTCCTCACAATAATCTGCACATTGAAGGTCCAGAGAAAAAAAGGAAACAGAAGTGTAAAAATAATTCAAGTCCAAGTCCTTTTGATAAAAAAATGAAAACGTTGACCACTTTCAGGCTGCTGCTAGCTAGTCGAGGCTGCTAACAGTCTCCGCCTATATTTGTGGTCTGGGTTATTTGTGTCACTTTCGTAACTAAATTCTAGTATTGTGCCATTTCTGGGCTCGATGCTTCCATCCTGTTCCGACCGCTCGTCCTGCGCCTTTGTTAGCTGTTCATTTTTTTCCTCTTCTTATCTGGTGTCTCCTCTTGGTGTCATCCCTCTCTGATTTGGCCAGGCGTATCTCGTAGGAGAGCGAGCTTTTCCACACAATGTCTTTTTAGACAACCATTTATAGTTTTACAATTCTAAGTATTTTTTTTTTTTTTTTGGGGGGGGGGGGGGGGGGGGGCCAAAAAAGTACTGAAAACAGTTTTTGAATTTAAATAGTTCCGAAATGTGAAAATTTTCCGCATGTGACCATAGTGGTCTTAAAGTTGTCTTCCTGTAATAAGAACGGGTTAGTACTGTATAAAAATAATCTGGATATTGTTTGATAAATTGAGGTAAGGGGGGAAAAGACGACCATTTAAATGGAAAGAAAACAAACAAATAAAAGTGAAGAGAATATAAGACTGTACTGTGTAAAGTTAGTTGAGATAACGCATGTTAGAGATCTAGCCGCAATCGACATCCACTTTAGTAATTAATCATGATTTTATTTGTCTTTGGGAAGTCTTTTTGTATTTTGACACATTTTATTTATACTTCACTTCTTATGTAAAAGTAAGGTAACGCATGTTAGTGATCTAGTGGCAATCGATATCCACTTTAAGAATTAAACATATTTTATTTGTCTTTTGTGAAGTCTTTTTGTATCTTGACGCATTTTCTGTACACTTCATCTCTTGTGTCAAGATCAGTAGCTAAGGAACACTTACGTTCTTACCTACACAAGACGGCATGTTACACCCGGCTGGTGCAGCCGTTACGTATGCCCTAGTTATAACTTCTTCGGAGGTTGAACGACCTAGTTGATCTACCTAGCTGGTCTGCAGTAAGGATGATAAACTTTCAGGTCGCAGCCCAGAGTGACCAACCCGGTCGATCAATCAAAAGGCACAACAAAAAAAAAAACAGTACCACTCACCTGATCAGGGTCACAGTAGATCTGGTTGACTTTGGACTGACCATCGTTGCCGTCCGTTGACCGGATTAGAAAGGCGGACTGGCCGGGAAGGAGTCCGTTCCTTCTGCTGTTTCCACGAGTCTTTTGTTTCTTATTCACTTGTTGGAAGATGCTAGAGTTCCTATCAGAGGAACCCGAGGCTCCGGATGCTGCTAGCGCCAAGTCATTCGTGTTGTGTGTTTTGTCGTACTGAAAGTGAAGATCCAAATCAGCTTCATAACATTTGCAGACTGCTACGAGGGTGGTGGGTTGTGGGTGTAATCACAAAAATCAGTCTAACCTAGTTGGCTGTAAGTCAGCATTCTGCAGGGGTATACTTTTCTAAACTTTGTTTTTGTTATAGACCACCTTTGATTTGAATGTTCATGAAAGCCCTGATATTTGTTACATGACTTATAAAAAGTGGTTACTGCAGTCCTGTTAAATTACTTCTTTGTGTCAGTTTTACTGCAGTCACTGGTATTTACGATTTCCCTTGATCTTGTTATTTGTATGACTTATTGTTGTTGTTGTTTTTCGTTAATAAAGACTCAAAAATCAGATTATAACAGGCTGGGCTATCACCCGGGGGGACTGCGTTCGATCCCCTTGGAGGATGGCGATTTTTTTATTGTGTGTGTGTGTGGGAGGTCAGAGGCAACACAATCAAGCCTAACCTGCACAGTTTGTGGCAACTGCACTAGCTATGTGGCCTTGGTCATCAGGTGGTTGACGCCCCCGCCTCCCCTTTCATTCCCTGCCCCATGTCTTACACCACTTTAGAAATAGTAAATACAAACAATAGAACGTAGACAGGGGTCTCCGTGGTCAAGTGGTCAAGCCGTTTGCCTCAAGCTCTGAAGGTCGAAGGTTCTCTGGTGCAGTTTTTTAATGGAGACTCCAGCAATCGTCGTCCGTGCTACGGTGTTCGTGCTTTATGTGACGTACTCAGCAGGTTACTAGCCGTTCTGAGGGGGAGAGGCTAAGCCATTCTGTGATAAAACCCGGTGAAGTGCAATCAGTTCTGTGGACTTTAACCTTTTAAGAAGCAAAGACAGTGGTCAAAGCGTTAGGTTATATTTGCGAGTCTTTTCGCGTCTTTACGAATAATTCAGCTGCTTGTGTGTATAATTCAGTTCTGACCTTCGAGCTGCGGCAGGGTTGTGGCTTGCTCGGCTGCTGGCAGGCTCAGGATGATGATGATGGTGGTACATTTTCGTGAGTATCTACATTGGTCATGCGGCGTAAAACCCCCTACTCATGCAGCAAGGCGCTGTCGTCACTTTTGGGTGACAGGTTAAATTCCCGGCACGGTAACTATTTTGATGTTGTCTAATGTGTCCTCCTATCTCTATAATTCCAATCATCACATATCAGATTCTTTATTATACCGTTTATATCGTCTCAAGTGTTCCCTCATATTTCTGTGAATTGCGATGATGACGATGACAATGATATTGATGATCGGGGTCTTTTTTTTTTTTTTTTTTTTAGAACAAAAGGCGCCGGTACACACAATAATGTATCTATTAAAAAAAAATGATGGCACCAACCTGACAGTGTTTACCACATTAACTCTCTAAAAACAATGATGTCAAAGCAACAACAACAACAACAACAACAAAAAGAAAGTTAAGGTACTACGCACTATTGCGTGCCACCAGAAAGAAAACACGGAAGATGATGGGGAAGATGATGACCACGGCTAAGATGAGTAGATTGAAACACAATATGATTATCTTGTAATTTCCAAGAAAGGCGATACGAAGCAAGTACGAGAATAGAGAAAGCCTTAAACGGTTAGGGAAATTGGACGTCGATAGTAGACACTGGTCATGT